AACTTTACGGCCAGAATTGAGATCGGAACTTCCGTCATAAGTTGTTGCAGTTGTAAGTCAGGTCGAACCCTTTTTGTGACCGTTTTTGCAGCCGTCGTTATGCGAATTCAACTTTCCCGGGAATTGGCAAACGAGGTTTCAAATCTTGATCCCATAACCGCAGGGAGCTGCAGCCAATCCTAAATGCGAAGCAGGTGCCAAATTGTGATCACGCAATCGTGGAGATCTGTACGACAGTCGTCAGTGCAAGTTTCCCGAGGCTGTCATTAACTTCAAACAGATGGTGAAAAAAACCAGTCATAAGTTGAGGACTACCTGTAGGGTGATGATGTCACAGCTATGGCTATGACTATGAGCCAGCCATGTGCAGCAGCAGCCAAAACAGCTAATACAATCCTGGGTTGTATAAACAGAGGCATCGAATCAAGATCACACAAAGGTATTAGTACCGCTTTACAATGCCCTAGTGAGACCACACCTGGAATATTGGAGCCAATTTTGGTCACCATATCACAAAAAAGATGTTGAGAGTTTGGAAAAAAAAATTCAGAGAAGAGCAACCAAGATGATCAAAAGCCTGGAGTCTAAAACATATGAAGAACCGCTGCAGGACTTGGGTTTGGCTAGTCTAAAGAAAAGAAGAAACAGGGGAGACATGATAGCAGCGTTCCAGTATTTGAGGGGCTGCCACAAAGAAGAGGGGGTCCAATTATTCCCCAAAGCACCAGAGGGAAGGACAAGAAACAATGGTTGGAAACTGATCAAAGTGAGAAACAACCTGGATTTAAGGAGAAACTTCCTGACAGTGAGGACAATTAACCAGTGGAACAGCTTGCCACCAGAAATCGTGGGCGCTCCAACAGGAGGTTTTTAAGAAGAGACTGGACAGTCACTTGTCTGAGATGGTATAGATTCTCCTGCTTGAGCAGGGGGCTGGACTAGAAGACCTCCAAAGTCCCTTCCAGCTCTATTCTATTCGTCTATGTTCACAGAAATCCATTCCCCCCCCAAAAAATCAGAAGTTAAGCCAAGAACGCAATTTGTTCCTCGTTGTCTGAAAGACGTAGGAATGATGAGCAGAAGGTCCATGTGATTGAGGGCGGACATCGCTCTGTGTATGTTTGTGTGTGTGTGTGTGTGTGAGAGAGAGAGAGAGAGAGAGAGACAGAAAGAGACACACACACACATACACACACACACACACACACAGAGAAACTATAACACATAAATAAAATAAAATTCCCCATCCCTACGAGCTAAGTGTGGGAATTGCCTGCTTTTAAAAGGCCTCATCTTACATATGCAAATCTTTAATTAAACACACTCATAAAACTATAATGAGCCCTTCATTTAATTAAATGGGGTGACTCATTTCATTAATTTTTAGCAAATCACAAAGCCGCTTGCCTTCCATCCTTTGAATTCAAAAGCAGCAAGAGGAAATTGATTCTAAAAATGCTTTAGATGTCTCTCTACTTTCAGAGGCCCCATGTTGTCTTCAAGGGCTTGTCCACCGTGCGTGTCCAGGTAGTCCTCAACTTACAGCCATCATCGATCCCCAAATTTCTGTGGCTAAGCGAGACGGTGGTTGAGCTTGGCCCCATTTTACGGCCTTTCTTGCCACACTTGTTAAGTCAATCACTGCAGCTCTTCAGTTAGTAACATGGTTGTTAAGTGAATCGGCCTTCCCCATTGGCTTTGCTTGTCAGAAGGTCACAAAAAGGGATCGCTAAGAAGAGCCGTGGTGGTGCAGTGGTTGGAATGCGGTACTGCAGGCGACCTCTGCTGACTGCTGGCTGCCAGCAGTTTGGCAGTTCGATCCTGACCGGCTCACGGTTGACTCAGCCTTCCGTCCTTCCGATGTCGGTAAAATGAGGACCCAGATTGTTGGGGGCAACAGGCTGATTCTGTAAACTGCTTAGAGAGGGCTGTGAAGCACTGTCAAGTGGTATATAAGTCTAAGTGTTACTGATATTGATATTCCATTCCATTCCATTGATGGTGCAGTGGTTAGAATGCAGTATTGCAGGCTAACTCTGCCGACTGCCAGGAGTTCGATCTTGACCAGCTCAAGGTTGACTCAGCCTTCCATCCTTCCGAGGTCGGTAAAATGAGGACCCAGATTGTTGGGGGCAAGTGGCTGACTCTGTAAACCGCTCAGAGAGGGCTATAAAGCACCGTGAAGCAGTATATAAGTCTAGAATGCTATCACTATCTGAATTGTGATCACACCACCATGGGGAATGCTGCAACAGTTGTAAGTGTGAAAAACGGTCGTAATTCAGTGCCGTTGTAACTTTGAATGGTCACTAAACAGTTGTAAGTCGAGGACAACCTGTAGTTGAGTTGAGTTGATTTCTCCCTCTCTCTCCGCACTTCCACATTTGGAAATTATACCTGCTTTTATTTCTGGCTTGTGTCATCCTCTTCACACAGCTGTCCAACTCCTGGATGCAACGGATCCGGACATATTCGCGGAAAGTACGCGAGACACAGGAGGTGAGTTTTCTTGTCCGCTGGAAGCTCTAATTCCATCTCCCCCACCGTCACCTTCATTGGATTCAGACGTTTCAGCAAGGAAGCTCAGCTCACCAAACCATCTTCTGAAATGGTGGCCAATTTTCCTGGGGAAATATCCGTCCCTTTCAAGAGCATTTAAAGCACCACCGTTCTGGCCAAAATACAAGATTATTATCAGTCAGGTGGGGGTAGTGGTTAAGGGGCTGGTCTAGAAACCAGGAGACTGTGAGTTCTAGTCCCTCCTTAGGCATGTAAGTCAGCTTGGTGACTTTGGGCCAATCACCAGGAGACCGTGAGTTCTAGTCCCGCCTTAGGCGTGTAAGTCAGCTTGGTGACTTTGGGCCAATCACCAGGAGACCGTGAGTTCTAGTCCTGCCTTAGGCATGTAAGTCAGCTTGGTGACTTAGTTTAGGCCAATCATCAGGAGACAGTGAGTTCTTGTCCCACCTTAGGTGTGAAAGTCAGTTTGATGACTTTCTGATTCTCTCTCTTCCCCTTATTCTTTCTCTTTTCTTTCTCTTTCTATCTCTCTTCCTCTTCCTTTCTCTCCCACTTTTTGTTTCTCTTTCTCTTCTTTCTGTTTCTTTTTCTCTTTTTCTTTCTTTCTCTTCCACTCTTTCTTTCTGTTTATCTCTCTCTCTTCCTCTTCCTTCCTCTCCCACTTTCTTTCTCTTCTTTCTGTTTTTTCTCTTTCTCTCTTTCTATTCCTCTTTCTGTTTCTTTTTCTCTCTCTCTTCCCCTTATTCTCTTTTCTTTCTTTTTCTCTCTCTTCCTCTTTCTGTTTGTTTCTATTTCTCTTTCTCTTTCTCTCTCTCTTCCTCTTCCTTTCTCTCCCACTTTTTGTTTCTTTTTCTTCTTTGTTTCTTTTTCTTTTTCTTCTTTGTTTCTTTTTCTTTTTTCTCTTTCTGTTTCTGTTTATCTCTCTCTTCCTCTTCCTTCCTCTCCCACTTTCTTTCTCTTCTTTCTGTTTTCTCTCTCTCTCTCCTTCTATTCCTCTCTTTGTTTCTCTCTCTTTTCCTTCCTCTCTCTTTCTGTTTCCCTTTCTCTCTCTCTTTCCCTTATTCTTCCTCTGTCTCTCTCTCCCTTCCTCTTCCTCTCTTCTCTCTGTCTTCCTCCTAGTTTACAAAGCTGCCCGCTGGCCAAGAAGAGGAAACTTCAGCACGTAGAAGCAGAACATCTGGAGCCCAAGAGAAAATCTCATCCCTTGAAGCTCAGCCTTGACGAAGACTATAATGTCGACAGTGATGTGAGTGAAGAGACCGAAGCCAAGCTGGACTCTGTGACAGACGATTCAGAAGGGACCCTGGAGGAGGAGGACGAGGAGGAGGACGAGGACGAGGAGGAGGACGACGAACGAGAAGCCCTTGCACAAAAGGAGGCGTCCAGCAGCCCTCCCTCGGAAGAAGGTGTGGGGTTGCTTCTGATAATGCCAACAGTGTACAGGTAGACTTATGACCAGAATTGGGACGAGAATTTCCATTGATAAGTAAGGCGGTCATTAAGTGAGTCACGGGACCAGAATTTCCATTGCTAAGGGAGGCGGTGGTTAAGTGACCTGTGCCTCATTTTTTTTGACCTTAACAACAGTTATTAAATGAATCGTTGCAGTTGTAAAAGTGACTCTGTCAGAGCATGCACAGTCTTATTGCACTGAAATAACCCAGGAGTAAACACACTAAACAGTGGTTTGTATTAAAGGGTGGTTTATCTTACATTATCTACAATAGCATACACCAGCAGCAATATACGTACACGTACTAATACAGCAGGATCCAACAAACCACACTTACAGCAGGAAACGGAAGAGAGAGAACACATCAGCGGAGCCTTCCCTTTATACAAAGGCTCTTAAAGAGACACAGACCCTGCTGAGTCATTTCCATCATTACATCTTACATCTTACATAAGCCGGTTAGCTGTGAAATCAATATCTTGACAGAATCGCCTGGTTATTAAGCAAATCCCACTTCCCCTATTGACATGGCTTGTCAGAAGCTGGTCAGGAAGGTTTCAAATGGGGAATCACATGACTCCAGGACAGTGCAAGTGTCATAAGAACGTGCTGGTGGCCAAGCGTGTGAATTTTGATCCCATGACCATGGGGAATGCTGCAATGGGTTGTTTTCTTGCAGACGTTACATGACACAATTATGTAACATCATCAATGCTAGTAAGGAATGAGCTTTGCTTTCAATTTATATTCTAGCAGATTGTGCCATCACTGTTGGTGGGAGTGGTCTTGGAGGTTCTTTAGTTGGGCTCCTAGACCACTCCCACCAACACTGATAGGGCAAGCCACTAGAATATAAAACGAGAGCAAGCCCTACTCCCTTCTAGCCCTGATGATGTTACCTAGCTGGGTCATGAAACGTCTGCAAGAAAACCACCAACCTCAGGGTGCACCTAGGACACTCCAGCATCTCCCTCGACTTGCAGTGCAAAAGCCTCAGACACCACATAACAAAGTAGGGACATCCCCCTTCCCCCCCCCCCCAGTTGGCTACCACAATTTTGAAGGAATTCTCTTTCCAATCCAGGCCAAAGAATGGAAGGAACTCTCGTGTCTGAACGGAAAGTGTCGGAAAGTGAAGGCGAAGTCTCCAGCAGCGGGGGAAACACCATGCATCTGCTCTGTGAAGGAGCAATGGAAGAAGAGGAGGAGGAGGAGGAGGAGGAGGAAGAGGAAGAGGAGGAAGAGGAGGAGGAAGCAGTGGAGGAGGAATGCGAGAAGGAGATCGTCATCCACCCAGAAGATGCAGAAGAAGTCATTGAGGTCACCAGCGAGCGCAGCAGTGATTTGTACCTGGAACATCAGGAGGATGAGGCGAGTTGTGAAGACTCGTGCAAACTGCAAAAGGAGGAAGAGGAGGAGGAAGAAGAGGAAGAGGAGGATGACGAAGAAGACCGTGAAGAAGAGGAGGAGGAGGAGGAGGAAGAAGAAGAAGAATACGAAGAGGAGGAAGAAGAAGAGGAAGGGGAAGCGATGGCTGAGGTAATCTGTCCAGAAACTCCTCACATTTCTCAGGATAGCCCCCAAGCCCACTGTGAAAGACCGACGGTCAACCCCAAGCCGGAATATTCTGTCATTGTGGAGGTGAGGTCCGACGACGAAAAGGACGACGATTCCCACTCCCAAAAGTCCACGGTAACCGATGAATCCGAGATGTATGACATGATGACGCGGGGAAATCTGGGCCTGTTGGAGCAGGCCATCGCCCTGAAAGCTGAACAGGTCAAGGTGGTGAGGGAGCCCGGCCAGCAGGTGACCGGAGAGCACGCGAAACATTTCCAAGTGGAGGAGAAGCAGAACAAGACCTTGGAATCCATCAGGAAGAACTATTACAGCAAAGGTAAGGAGAGGTGGCTCGGCACAAGGCCTCAGGGGTTAAAGACGCTGAGCTTATCAGCTAGAAAGCTGATAGCCTGGGTTCGAGACCCAGCACCACAAGATGGGGTGAGCTCCGGTTCTTGCCTCAGCTCCTGTGCACCTAGCAGTGCTAGAAACCGTGCAAATGTCTGTGGAGATTCTCATCATCCAGGTCATAGTTGTCCCAAAAATGCTTTTTCAGGAGGCAACTGGACTTTCTTGTGTTCCTTTGAAGACATTTCGCTTCTCATGCAAGAAGCTTCTTCAGCTCTGACTGGCGCTCTATTTCAAAATTGAACAGCCTTCTCTCAACAGAGGGGGAGGGATACGACACCATCTATCTCCAGTCTACAACACCGTCCTTTCAGAAGTTTCAAGAAGGCTCCACACCCATTTGCACCACTCAGGTGACCCCGAGGACACAGATCCAGGTGGCCTCAACAACTCTCTAAAAGAATGCAAATGACCAGCTGTCTGCAAGGAGTATAAATCCTTCCCTTCCCCACCATCCAGTCAGAGCTGAAGAAGCTTCTTGGATGAGAAGCGAAACGTCTTCAAAAGAAAACAAGAAAGTCCAGTTGCCTCGTGAAGGAAATCACGCGATCCCATCATAGATATGAAACCAGTTGCAAAACATCTGAATGTTGATCACGTGACCCTGGAGACGCTGCTACGGTTGTAAATGTGAAAACTGGTCATGAGTCGCTTTTTTGGGTCCTGTTGTAACTTTGAAGGGCCACTAAATGAACTGTTGTAAGTCGAGGGCTAACTCTGTAACCTCCCAATGTGGCGGTTACCTTTGGCAAAAGCTGGTTTTAAGAAAGGAGTGGATCGTGAACGTACTATAGCTCTAAAGACAGATGTCGGGTTCAACACTGGGCTTCCGTTAAGGAGTAAGTCTCCAGAGGGAGCTTCTTACTTATTATACAGGTAGTCCTTGACTTACGGCCCCAATGGAGCCGAAAATTTATGTTGCTAAGCGAAACATTGGTTAAGCGAGTTTTGCCCCGTCTTACAACTTTTCTTGCCACAGTTGTTATGTGAATCGTTGCAGTTGTTAAGTTAGTAACATAGTTGTTAAGTGAACCTGGCTTCCCCCTTGAATTTGCTTGTCAGAAGGTTGCAAAAGGGGATCTCATGACCCCTGGGACATTGTAACCATCACAAAAAGGAACTAATCGCCAGGCGTCTGAATTTTGAGCACGTGACCCTGGGGACGCTGCAACGGCCGTGCGAAAAACGGTCCTACGTCACTTTTTTCACTGCTGTTGCAACCTTGGAACGGTCACTAAATGACGTGTTGTAAGTCAAGGACTGCCTGACCCTGGTTTCCCGGGGTAGCTTTGTTCATCCCTGTCGGAGACGGAACCTGGAATTAAATAAGACATTTGAGTCAATAAACCGCGGCAACTTCTGCAGTTTTGATGACCGCAGGGTTCCAGTTCAATCGGATGAACTGGGCGCGTTTATAGAGCTTTGAAGGGACGTTTCACTTCCACGCTGATGGGCGCAGAGCTGCTAGGAGCACAAAAGGGAAGGAAACGCTCCTTGAAGAAAAGAGAAAACGGCTTGGGTGGCTTCGCTTTGCACGACTTCTTGAGGGATTTTTGAGAAGTGGGAATGGCTTTGGGAAGTGGAGGAAGCCGTGATGAAAAGTCTCCCAGCCAGGCCATTTGTATCCTCGCTGACATCTTGATGAGGCAAATAAGGTGATTTCCACCCCCGTTGTGTGTCTTGCTGAGGCAAAACATTGTTCCCTTGGGCAGGCTAGCAGGTGATCAGAATGTTGATCTGATCTGTATAGGAACATCACTTTCTTTCTCTTTCTTTCTTTCTTTCTTTCTTTCTTTCTTTCTTTCTTTCTTTCACTCTCTTTCACTCTCTTTCTTTCTCTTCCTTCCTTTCCTTTCTTTCTCTCTTTCTTTCTTCCTTCCTTTCTTTCTCTCTCTCTTTATTTCATTCTCTTCCTTCCTTCCTTTCCTTTCTTTCTCTCTTTCTTCCTTCCTTCCTTCCTTTCTTTCTTTCTCTCTCTCTTTCTTTCTTTCACTCTCTCTCTTTCTTTCTCTTCCTTCCTTTCCTTTAATTCTCTCTTCTTTTCTTCCTTCCTTCCTTTCTTCCTTCCTTCCTTCCTTCCTTCCTTTCTTTATTTTTCTTTCTTTCTTCCTTCCTTCCTTTCTCTTTCTCTCTCTCTCTTTCTTTCTCTCTCTCTATTTCTTTCTTTCTCTTCCTTCCTTCCTTCCTTCCTTCCTTCCTTTCCTTTCCTTTCCTTTCCTTTCCTTTCTTTCTCTCTCTTCCTTCCTTCTTTCTTTCTTTCTTTCTTTCTTTCTTTCTTTCTTCTTTCTCTTTCTTCCTTCCTTCCTTTCTTTCTTTCTTCCTTCCCCCCCTCTCTCTCCCTTCCTTCCTTCCTTCATTTATATCCCACCTTTATTATTTTTACAAATAACTCAAGGCAGGCAAACATATCCAACACACCTTCCTCCTCCCCACAACTATAAGCCTGTGAGGTGGGTTGGGTTGAGAGAGAGGGACTGGCCCAAAGTCACCTAGCTGGCTACGGTGGGACTAGAGCTCACTGCCTCCTGGTGAAGGGCCTAAAGTCACCCAGCCACCTTCATGCCTAAGGCGGGACTAGAACTCTTCTTCCTGTAATATTCTCCTTTTGTCTACATTAAACAAATATAATTCTTAATATTTTCAATACAAACCAAGCTGAATATAAACATTTTTAATATTTATGCATATAATAATAACATCAACATTTAACATGTTTTTTACTCAGCTTATTTCCATTGTATTTATAAAAATCATCTTATTAAATCATTCTATGTCCTGTTTTCAAGATTCTTATTAAGGCTTAGTTTCCCCTCACCGACCAAATCTTATTGTAAGCTCGTTTGTGCACCGTCTTCATTCGTTTTCTAGATTCTTCAAGACCCGAGAAGCGTGAAATCAAATGTCCCACTCCAGGCTGTGATGGCACCGGCCACGTCACAGGACTCTATCCCCACCATCGTAGTTTGTCTGGTTGCCCGCACAAAGACAGGATCCCTCCTGAGAGTAAGTGCATCTTAAAATTCACTACATTGCTGTAACAGCTAGGACAGTGGTAGGCCACCTTGGCTCTTTTATGACTCGTGGACTTCAACTCCCAGAATTCCTGAGCCAGCCATGCTGAGGGGAGAGGGAGAGGTTTCCAAGCTGAGCCTTGCTGGCTCAGGAATTCTGGGAGTTGAAGTCCACGAGTCATAAAAGAGCCAAGGTTGCCTACCCCTGTCCTAGGATGCCACTGAAGGACCCAATGTTGGGTTTAGACCAAAGGTAGGCAACCTTGGCTCTTTTATGACTTGTGGACTTCAACTCCCAGAATTCCTGAGCCAGCCATGCTGAGGGGAGAGGGAGAGGTTTCCAAGCTGAGCCTTGCTGGCTCAGGAATTCTGGGAGTTGAAGTCCACGAGTCATAAAAGAGCCAAGGTTGCCTACCCCTGAGTTAGGACAATTCTTATAAAACAGCTGATGTACGATCATTCATGTAGTGGCCAAGTACTTTTGCCACAGTTGTTAAGTGAATCACTGCAGTCCTTAAGTGAATGACATGTTGTTAAGTGGATCTACTTCCCCTATTGACTTTGCTTGTTGAAAGCCATTTGGGAAGGCCACAAAAAGAGACCACATCACCCTGGGACACTGCAAATGTTATAAGTAACGTATTCCCCTGAAAATAAGACCGGGTCTTATATTAATTTTTGCTCCAAAACATGCATTAGGGCTTATTTTCTGGTTAGGGCTTATATTTGGGGAAATATGGTACTAAATGCATCCGTCTGGGCTGACAATCTTATTTTTGGGGTAGGGCTTATATTACGAGCATCCTGAAAAATCACGTTAGGACTTATTTTCCCGGTTAAGTCTTATTTTCGGGAAAACATTGTACATGCCAATTGTCAAGCATCTGAATTCTGGTCATGTGACTGTGGGGAATGCCACAATGGTCGTAAGCACGAGGACCAGCTGTGAGTCACTTTTTCCAGTGTAAGTGGAGGAGCCCTTGTAATTTTCTTTCAAGTCCTCAAAGAAGACTGTGAAATTAAAATATATACCGGCAGTCCTCGACTTACGACCACAGGTGAGCCCAAAATTTCTGTTGCTAAGCAACAGAAGGCAATGAATTTTGCTCCATTTTATGACCTTTTTGGCCACAAATGTTAAGGAAATCAGTGCAGTTGCTAAGTTAGTAACGTGAACCTGGCTTCCCCATTGACTTTCCTCATCAGAAGTTTGCAAAAGATGATCACATGACCCCAGGATACGGCAACTGTCATAATCCATCACATGCTAATTGCCAAGCATCCAAATTTTGATCACATGACCATGAGGATGCTGCAATGGTCATAAAGTGTGAAAAATATAAGTCACTTTTTTCAGTGCTAGTGTAATTTCAAATGGTCACTAAATTAATGGTTGTAAGTAGAGGATTACCTACACTAGTTGGATATAATGTGAGTCTAGGCCATGGGTAGGCAACCTTGGCTCTTTTATGACTGGTGGACTTCAACTCCCAGAATTCCTGAGCCAGCAAGGCTCAGCTTGGAAACCTCTCCTTTTCCCCTCAGCGTGGCTGGCTCAGGAATTCTGGGAGTTGAAGTCCACGAGTCATAAAGGAGCCAAGGTTGCCTACCCCTGGTCTAGGCCCATGTTTAGAAAATGATGGATTTTCCTCATGAAGCAGGAGGAAAATGGAGGCTGATTACGGAGCCCAGATGAAGAATCCTCTAGCAAAAACGTCTGGAGTATCCTAATTTATTTATTTTATTTATTATTTTAATTTATTACAGCTCCACTGGGATAAATCGGCAACTTTATCTGCATCGGTGCCCATACAATGCAGTAAAAAAAGAAAGAAAAGAAAAAAGAAAAGTGATATTGTTTTTTTTCTCTCAACATGTTTGGAGAAAAAAATTGAATAGGCCAGTGCTGAGCGGTTTTAAATTTTAATAAGACAGTGTGATGCGGGAGAGTTTCATTTACTTTTTCCCCAAAGGGGAAATATTTGCTACTTCTGACTCTAAAATAATTTCTTTTATAATCCTCTCTCAAGAAAGAAGGTGTGAGCTTATGAAAAATAACAATAAAAAAACCCAATCTGTCTTATCAGTTCATTTCAAAGGCTGAAGACATACCCCCCCCCCCAAAAAAAAACCCTAAGAGAAAGGAACATTGGTCGTTTATTTCCTCATGGGTAAATGAAAAACAAAATAAGTGCAAGTGCTGTTCTTCTGAAAGATATTTTTCTTTACTTTCAAGGTTATCTTCATAAAAGGCAATGAGGTTAAAATATATATGTTTGTTTTAAAGAATCAGAGGTTTGAGAAATATACATGGAAACCCAATCCCTTGAAACAGAGAACATATCTGACTTCACTGCAGGAAGCAAATTGGATGACCTGTTAGTCTGCCTGTCTATCATCTTATCTATCTATGTCTCTCCTATCTTATCTATCTTTTTATCATCTATCATCTACCTCATCTATCTGTCTATCTGTTTGTCTATCTACTGTCTCATCTATCTATGTTTCTCATCTATCTCATCTATCTTTTTATCATCTATCTATCTATTATCTATTATCTATCTATCTATCTATCCTTTTTATCATCTCTCATCTGTCTGTCTGTCTATCATCTCACCTATCTACGTCTCTTATCTATCTCATCTGTCTGTCTGTCTGTCTGTCTGTCTGTCTGTCTGTCTGTCTGCCTGTCTGTCTGTCTGTCTGTCTATCTTTCTGTCTATGTCTCTTTATCTCATCTATCTTTTTAACATCTATATCTGTCTGCCCGTCTATCATCTCATTTATCCAAGTCTGTCATATCTATCCTTTTATCATCTATCATCTACCTCATCTATGTCTGTTGGTCTATCTGACTATCTATCTATCTATCTATCTATCTATCTATCTATCTATCTATCTATCTATCTATCTATCTATCTATCTATCTATCTATCTATCTATGTCTCTCATTTATCTCATCTATCTTTTTAACATCTATCACCTACAGCAGAGGTCTCCAACCTATCCAGGCTCGCAGCTTCCAAATCATTGTGCGCACGTGTGTGCATGCAAATGGGGCCATGCATACTGGTGCAGCATTAGCGGCCCCGTTCGTGCATGCAGCATGCGCTGGTGCCATGTGCATGTGCAAACGGCTGTGCACCCCCCATGGCAGCTAGCGGCCCCACTCGCGCATCTCTGAACAGCTGTGCAATCTGCCCAGTGCTAGCGGCCCCGTTCATGCATGCACAAACGGGGCCGCAGGCACTAGTGCGAGTGGGGGAATGCGTGCCCATGAGTGCATGCACCGACCAGCCATTTCTGCAGCCTGCTGGCGAAGAGCCCGCAGCCCGGTCCCAGGCCATAGCCCATAGGTTGGGGACCCCTGACCTACAGTATCTATCTATCTATCTATCTATCTATCTATCTATCTATCTATCTATCTATCTATCTATCTATCTATCTATCTATCTATCTATCTATCTATCTATCTACCATCTCATCCATCTATGTCTCTCATCTATCTCATCTATCTTTTTATCATCTAGTCTAAAGAAAAGAAAAAATAGGGGAGACATAATAGCAGTATTCCAGTATTAGAGGGGCTGCCACAAAGAAGAGGAAGGGTCACGTTATTCACCAAAGCACCAGAGGGCAGGACAAGAAACAATGGTTGGAAACTGATCAAAGAGAGAAGCAACCTGGAATTAAGGCGAAACTTCCTGACAGTGAGGACAATTAACTAGTGGAACAACCTACCTCCACAAATCGTGGATGCTCCATCACTGGAGATTTTTAACAAGAGGCTATACAGCCACTTGTTTGAGATGGTATAAGTTCTCCTGCTTGAGGACGGGGCTGGACTAGAAGACCTCCAAGGTCCCTTCTAGCTCTATTCTATATTCTATATTCTATCTCATCTATGTAGGTCTTTAGTTATCTATCTATCTATCTATCTATCTATCTATCTATCTATCTATCTATCTATCTATCTATCTATCTATCTATCTATCTATCTATCAAAAAAAAGTCAGGGAAACAGTCGGTCCACTAAAGAGAGAAGATGGCAAGGAAGTAACCAGCAGCAGGGTAAAAGCAGAGTCGTTTAACTCATTCTTTGCATCAGTCGTTGCGCAAAAACCATCCTACCAAAAACATAACTGTAAAAGAACCGGAGAACTACCAGAGGATTCGAAAAGAGCTGATGTGGTCCCATCTTCAAAAATGGGGAAAAAAACCAGACCCAGGAAACTATAGACCAGTGATGGCGAGCCTTTTAGAGACTGAGTGCCCAAACTACAACCCAAAACCCACTTATGCATCACCGGGTGCCGGGTGGATGTGACCCATTGGGTGGCCGTGGCCCATTGGGTGGCCGTGGCCGCGGTGGTAACGGCAGACTGGGTGGGACTAAAAAGTTCAATCAATCAATTCCAACTTTGCAAGACCTTTTTTTTTCCCGCGAGAAGTTGAAATTGACTGATTAAACTTTTTTTTTTTTTTGCACACGGCGGCGGCGGCCTAAAAAAAGTTTTATAAAACCCAGCTGAAGGCCTAGGACTGGGGCGACAGCGCGCGTGCCCACAGAGAGGGCTCTGAGTGCCGCCTCTGGCACCTGTGCCATAGGTTCGCCACCACTGCTATAGACCAATCAGCCTAACATCAATATCTGGGAAGATACTGGAAAACATAATAAAAAAACAGATCTGTGAACATCTAGAAACAAATAAAATCATAACTAGTAGCCAGAACGGGTTTGTTAGACAGCTATTTGTCTGAAATGCTTGAGCAGGGGGTGGGACTAGAAGACCTCCAGGGTCCCTTCCAAGTCTGTTACTTCTATTATTATTATTATTATTATTATTATTATTATTATTATTATTATTATTATTATTATTATTATTATTATTATTATTATTATTATTATTATTATTATTATTGTTATTATTATTATTATTGCTTTCTCACCTTTCTCCTCATTTTCTTTTTAATTCTCAAGTTCTGGCCATGCACGAGAATGTATTAAAGTGCCCAACACCTGGATGCACCGGACAGGGCCATGTAAATAGCAACCGTAATACTCACCGAAGGTAGGTGATTTTTCCACTGTATCCTAGATATTTGAAATAATAATGGGTCAGGAAGCCGTTTGTTTAGCTAATATGATTAGCTGATTGGGACAGCAATTGAACTGAAAGAGAAAGAATTTAGAAGGGCTGGAAACGGAGAACAGCATCAGAAACTGTCTTGCATTTTTCTCTCGTCCACTTTGCATTCATTTGCACGCACACACAAAAAGAATTTTCTCTGGAAAGGAGGAAAAAAGAAACTTTTAGGCAGGTCTCATAGATAAATGTTTGATATTCTCACACTTATGTAGTGACAAAACAATTAAGGAAGTCCATACGCACGTTGTGGTTTTCACTATAGGTAATCCTTGATTTATGAGCACAGTTGTGCTCAATATTTGTACTGTTAATCCAGGCATGGGTGGAGTGAATGTTGTTCCATTTTTACAACCTTTTTTTGCCACAGATGTTAACCGAATCACTGCATTTGTGAAGTGAACCATGCAGTCTTTAAGCAAATGGGGCTTCTCTCATTAACTTTGCTTGTAAGAAGCTGGCTGGGGCCCCTGTCATAAATATATGCCAGTTGCCAAGCCCCCAAATTTTAATCACATGACTGTGGGGATCTTACAACGGTCATAAGTGTGAAAATGGGTCATAAGTCACTTTTTTCAGTCCTGTTGGAACAATCCCTAAACGAATAGTTGTAAGTCGAGGGCTACCTGAATTTAATCTCCCCCATAGCCTCCCTGGCTGTTTATGCTTCCATTCGGTTTTAAAGCAAGATAATTACCCGTAAGAGGGAATTACAGGAATTATTGTAATTACAACTAATGGCGAGACCAGAATTTCCCTTGCTAAGCATGGGGTGATTGTTAAATGAGTCACGCTCCTTTTTACTACCTTTGCCATGTTTGTTAAGTGAATCACACAGTCGTTAAGTGAATAAGCTTCCCGAATTGCAGGAGAGCGCGACTATGGCCACTTTGCGACCTGTGGACTTCAACTCCCAGAATTCCTGAGTCAGCCATTGGGAGGAAGTGGGCAACTATGGCCCCTTTGCGACCTGTGGGCTTCAACTCCCAGAATTCCTGAGCCAGACATTGGGAGGAAGTGGGCAACTATGGCCCTTTTGCGACCTGTGGACTTCAACTCCCAGAATTCCTGAGCCACCGTGGAACTCTCAGGAATTCTGGGAGTTGAAGTCCACAGGTCGTAAAGGAGTCAAAGCTGCCCACTTCCACCCAATTGACTTTGCTTGTCAGAACTCAGTTGGGAAGGTCGCAAATGACGATCACATGACTCCGGGATGTTGTAAATATGTGCTAGCCCAAATTTTGATCATGTGACCAGGGGGATGGTGCAAAAGTACAAGGTCCAGTTACTTTTTGCAGTGCCATTGTAACTTCCAATGGTCACTAAACAAATGGATGTAAGTCAAGGACTACCTGTACTCCTATAGTACAGGGTAATCCTTGACCCATGTCACAATTTAGCGCCAAATTTCTGCTGCTAGATGAGCTATTTGTTAAGTGAATTTTATCCCATTTTACAACAGTAAATCACTGCGGCTGTTAAGTTAGTAAAACGGTTGTTAAGTGAATCTGGCTTCCCCCATTGACTTTGCTTGTCCGAAGGTCGCCAAAGGAGATCACGTGACCCCGGGACACTGCATCCGTCATAAGTATGAGTCAGTTGCCAAGCATCTGACTTTTGAATATGTTACTATGGGGATGCTGCAACGGTCATAACTGTGAAAATCGGTCGTAAGTCACTTTTTTCAGTGACGTTGTAACTTCGAACAGTCACTAAATGAACTGTTGTAAGTTGAGGACTACCCTGTACTGCTTTTTTTAGAAGCAGAGATTATGTCACCACAAAGAAATTGTCAAAAAATTGTCAAAAAAAATGTCAGCATTGTCTTTTCTTTGAGGCGATTAAATTTTCTGCCCGATTTTTGTGCTCAACAGTACAAGCATTCTATGCTGGGTTAATTCTTGACTAGGATTGGTTCCCCAACCCCCAACATATCTTGAAGGATTTACAATGTTGTTGACATTCTTGCGTGAGCTTTTTTGCTTTGCAGAATATTTTGAAATCTCCAAGGCGCTGCACACCTTCTTATAACGGTTCTATGTTATTTTATTGTGTTGATTTTATTTAATCCCTGCATTCCTCTTCCCTGTTATTTTTTTTTTCTTCTGCTTCTTCCTTGCTTTCAAGGTTATCGAATAGACCGACAGGGTAACGTCGACGACTTTTTAATCGGTTTTGAGTGCTCTTCGTTGGCGGAGGTAGGCCGCTGGGAAGTTTTGTAGTGAGCTTAAGTCTAGCCTAGGAGTCCATTAGGTCGGTTTACCTCGATTGGAGACAAAAAAGGAAAAGGAGAGTTTTTCGGTCAAATCCCTTACACACGGGTGCCTTGGCCATTTTAAGACCATTACACAGTCTTTAATAGGGTTGCCAGGTGTCCACTATTTGAGTGGACAGTCCACTTTTTTCACATTATGTTCACTATTTTTTTTCACAAAATAGTGGACATTTTTTTTATTCAAAAGCTTTATGATGAAATGGTACGTAATCTAAAGCTGTACAGTCTACTTTTTTTACTACTTAACACCCCCCGCCGCTTGTCCGCTATTTTTTGGAAGCAGACCTGGCAACCCTAGTCTTTAAGTGAATAAGCTTCCCCCATTGCAGGGGAGGGCAACTCTGGCCCCTTTGTGACCTGTGGACTTCAACTCCCAGAATTCCTGAGCCAGCCATTGGGAGGAAGTGGGCAACTATGGCCCCTTTGCGACCTGTGGACTTCAACTCCCAGAATTCCTGAGCTATGTTGGCTGGGGAATTATGGGAGTTGAAGTCCACAGGTCTTAAAATGGCCAAGGCTAGGCACACCCGATTTAGGGAAATGGCAGGACCCTTTCCAGCCACTAATCCATCTCTGACTGTCAAATGTTTTTCTTTGAATGAAAAATAAAATGTAATATTCCCAGTCAGGCCACACTGAATCAGGAAGGTCTTCTGTAGCATCCATTAATTCTGAGTTGACAGGCCAAAGGGGTTTTTAACAGAGTCCCAAGCCATGTCTTACTGTGCACACAGCAGTGCAGATGGCCCAACAATCACATTGATTATGTTGACATTATGAAGATGGAAAGGATAGAAAGTTCCCCCATCCCATTTTTCATTTTGTGTGGCGTGTTAACATTTCTCCATGACTCTCGGTTCCATCGCTGGGTGGACTGGATGTGGGTGCTAATTAATTATCCAATGGTTTAATAAACTGGCTCTCTGCACTTCTCATGATTAGCTGATTAGAGACTGCATCCATGTACCATCTTAAGATAGCTGCTACAGGGCTAGATTGCAAAGGAAGTGCCAAAGTTTTGATTTCGAAAATCCCTTTACTTAGAACTGTGGAACTACCAGCTATGCTGACTCAGGAATTCTGGGAGATGAAGTTCATGAGTCATAAAAGAACCAAGGTTGCCTACCCCTGGATTAGTCACTAGAAGATTTCCAAGGTCCCTCCCAGCTGTATTATTCTGTTCTCTTCTGTTAGCTGAATATGTTAAAGCTGGAATAATATTTTTTAAAAGTTCAATAACAGAGCATTAACTTTCAGGGTTGAGGGAAATAAAAACTGAAGTCTGAAGTCTAGGAACCAGTAAGTGAATTGAGCAAGTATTCTTGCTAAAAACAGGTTGCCTAGATGTGGAACTTCCAACTTTGTCACTTCTTCAAATCAAAAGCACAGAGCCAGAAATAAATCAGAAACAAATCAAATCAAAGTTTCCCAAAACAAAGTCATGAAATCCAATAATGCATGAGCTTTTTGTGGATTGGTGTAAAGTGTAAACCCTTTCATTCTATTGAAGTAAGCCTGTAGTATAGGATTTTACTATCGCTCTCTAAAGACGCTATACGTTTTCTATCAGATATGAAAATTGGTAACACTTAGAATCATCAATTGCTTCCTAAAAGCATATTTATAACATCTCTTCCATTTTGCTATCTACATTTCCCTTTTATACTTCATACTATGTGTTTATAAATGGATTCTATTCAAGAGAAAAAAGAATTTGAACACAAACAGTATCTATAGCCTCAATTCCTAATTTGCTCAGAAAATAATTCCAAATGATTCTTTCTTCATATTATAATAATCTATGATCATAATAAAATACTGTGATTGGATTGGATTGGATCCTTCCTATGTTTGTCTTTAATGGATGAATACGAGGGATCCTTGGTGCTCTCTGAGTTTAGCTGTTTTCTTGCAGACGCTTCATTACCAAACTAGGTAACATCATCAGTGCTAGAAGGGATGAGATTAGCTCTCTGTTTATATATAAGGCCCTTCTAGCACTGATGATGTTACCTAGTTTGGTAATGAAGTGTCTGCAAGAAAACAACCAAGCTCAGAGAGCATCAAGGACCCCACAATCCTCCTCTTCCTCCTCCTCCTCCTTCTTCTTCTTCCTCCTTTCTTCTTTCCTTCCTACTTGTCTTCCCTTCTCTATTCCTTCTCTCCCTCCCTCTTCCTCCTCTCTCCTCCTCCTCCTCCTCTTCTTCTTCTTCTTCTTCTTCTTCTTCCTTTCTTCTTTCCTTCCTACTTGTCTTCCCTTCTCTATTCCTTCTCTCCCTCCCTCTTCCTCCTCTCTCCTCCTCCTCTTCTTCTTCTTCTTCTTCTTCTTCTTCCTTTCTTCTTTCCTTCCTACTTGTCTTCCCTTCTCTATTCCTCCTCTCCCTCCTTCTTCTTCCTCTCTCCTCCTCCTCTTCCTCTTCCTCTTCCTCCTCCTCCTCCTTCTCCTCCTCCTCCTCCTCTTCTTCTTCTTCTTCTTCTTCTTCTTCTTCTTCTTCTTCTTCTTCTTC